TCCCAATCATGGGAAGTTAGCAGATTATGCAGCGGCTGTCTCAGAGAAAACTTTGCCCTAAGGTGCATAAAGTAAATGTCATAATAAACATCCAATCATCCTATTTATGAATCTTTGTCATGTCAGACCCATCCTTGTTAAGCTGTAGAAGCTAATTTGACCTATTAAAGTCTGCTTGCCACTGCAGATGGTTGGAAGGAGTCTTTGTCCTAGGTACTAGATAATACTATAATAAAACAGAGAAAAGCAATGGTGCACTGCTAGGAGTTCTGAATGCCCATATGCAAAGCCACAAGTGTGAATTCAACATGGTGCAATTTGTCATGGTCACTGTAAAAGTATTTTAAACTCCTGATGAATTTCTCACAGCTCATCTGAGCAAACTGGTAGACGTGTGTGTGATACAAATCATAATGTGTGATACCTAAGCACAGGTTCTGATGTACATCTGTGGTTTATTCGCTGATTTTTTTAATTGATCAATTTTTAAAAAAAGTCTCCAGACAAACTGGAGTACAGTCTAACAAATGCAAGGTTAGAATCCTTGCCCTATTATTGGTTTCTGTTTGCTACATGCAGAGATATGTAGAGGTAATGAAAGTACTATATTTATTATATTTTTGTAATAGATTTTCAAACCACATTCTTGGTTGGGATTTTTAAAATTTTATTTTCAGCAAGGAGGAGCATGAAGAATAGAATTGAAAATACAAAATGACCGTGGTATGTTTGTTCAGTCTTAGATATTTTTAAAAATATCTATTCTCCCCCCACCCTCTTTTTTTAAATTAAATGATTTTATGTAACTGCTTCCAGCTGTTCAGATTAGATCCGTGTTTGATGCATTCTGTCTAGCTCTAATTTATGCTGTGTTCGCTCAGTCTGGAGTATCTACGCACCAAGATCCAGTAATCCAAGAAAACACACAAAGACAAAGGCCACTAAGAAGCTCCTGCAACACACATGCCCCAGTGTGTTAGCTATGTTCATTCAGTTTCAGATTCAAGAATTCCACTAGATCAGAACGGGACAGTGTTATTAATAAGGAAGACTTGCATGATATGCTTCCTTTCCTGGGAAAGCATCCAAGCTGTGTTCTTGGATACTGTGATGAATGAGGCTCCAGGCCTTATAAAACTTCCATACATTCCTTAGGATATTTGATGAGAAGTTTAAATGGCCCTGGTCCAGAAGATGTAATCAGAGATGCGTTTGCTTGCTTTTGATGATGAAGCAAAAAAGTTCATTCAAGAAGATTACTTGAGAGAATTGCTGATGGTAATTGGACTGGTTTACTGCTGAGTTAGTAGATGAGCTGAACAGAGAGGGTCATGAAGTGGCGAAGTGTAACTTTGATTATATTAGATTCATGCACTTCTGTAAGGATGGAGCAAGGACAGACTGCAGCTAATCAAACACCCACAGATCTATTTTATTTTGAGTCTCATTTCATTTCTTTGAGTGGTGGTGTTTGGGTTTTTTTTTGGTTTTTTCTCGAGCCACCGATTGCATGCTTTTGAATTCCTCTCTGTTTTTACTGATTCCCAGTCTCTCTAGCACACTTCTGCCTGTGTAATTAGACTGTAAATGGAGGCGATTGTAAAGGGAAAACATTTGGGAATAATGAAGAGCAACTATAAAAGCCTAGGGAAAATGCTCATTGTTTCTGGTCACTGGAGGCTTACGTTTTTCTACTAAATACCATTTTCAAGTAAAGATGACTTATAAATCAAATATTCCTGGCAAAGATATTTTAACGATCATAACTTTCATATGGAGAATTGCATAATCTATAATACTTCAAAGTTAATTGCACTTTAATAACTAGTTGATTGATGAAAGAAATGGGTGTAGCCACTGCACTCTGAGATTCTCTATGGCAAATAGTTATTACATCTGAACTGCCTTATAATATTTCACTGTGCTTAAAGGGGTGCGTGTGCGGGCTTGTCTTCCCTGTAGAGTTAACTTGAGTTGTAACTCATGTGTTGCCCCAACTTGAGGTCCATCCACACACGCTAAACCCTTAACTCAAGCGTGGTAGTACTTTTACCTCGAGGGGGATATATGTGCTCAATTGTGCACAACTTGTCAGCTGCTAATAAAATCATTCCGTGCACCGAGCCATTCGCTTTCTGCAGCTCCAGTGTTCTACAGAGTGGCAGCTCTCTCTAGAGCAGGGGTTCTCAAACTGGGGGTTGGGACCCTTCCGGGGGACACAAGGTTATTACATGGAGGGTCGCGAGCTGTCAGCCTCCATCCCAAACCCTGCTTTGCCTCTCAGATTTATAATGGTGTTAAATATATATAAAAGTGTTTTTAATTTATATGGGTGGGGGGAGGTCGCACTCAAAGACTTGCTATGTGAAAGATGTCACCAGCACAAAAGTTTGAGAACCACTGCTCTAGAGCAGTGCTTAACTCAAGTTAACTCTGCAGTGAAGACATAGCCTGTGTGTCTGGTGGACCCCATCTTCTGCTGGTGTCAATCCGCTTTATTTCCACTGAAGATAACGGAATTAAGCAGAGCACCACTTGAGGATGTGGCCCA